ATCGATCTCGTATCATGTTCATGAACTCGGTACCAGTCCTAGGCGTGAATTCCAAATCCCCTTCTTTGATATTGACCATTTCTTGCGAGTGGAGGTTGAGTTTTGGGTCTATCAACTCGATCCACCAGATTTGAAACAGAGGATCTTTCAAGTCCATTTTACGAACAGCGGACGGAAAAGAGATGTCGCTGATACCCACTTTCCATCCAGATTCTCTCAACTGTAGCGGGTAAGGCAAACGATTCTTGAAACTGTTGGCCTTGTTGTCGGGAAACTCGTTCGTACTGGCATTGCTCATCCACTGCACGTAAAATTCCACGGGAGACTCATTCATACTTAAAGTGCAATGTCACAGAGGTCACTCCAGAGGCAAAATCCACCAGTTGTCCGTCGTTCTCGGCCAATTGCATCTCCACTATATCTAAAACATTGCTGGTACAGGTTTACATTGAATCTGAGAAGGTTCGTACGTCGTCTTGGTAGGGTCGTGTGGTACTTCTCCCAATAGGTCCGTCACTCGATTCCCCGTGATCGTGCTGCGTCCTACATTCGAATACAAGTACATGGGACTACGAGGAGGAGGGACGTCCGGATCGACGCTAACTCCATGATAGACCTTCGCGTATTCCTCGTCCAGGTAACTGAAGCGCCAGTTGCAATAGGGACTGAGCTGTAACACCCCGGCGCNGACGCTGACTCCCTGATAGACCTTCGCGTATTCCTCGTCCAGGTAACTGAAGCGCCAGTTGCAATAGGGACTGAGCTGTAACACCCCGGCGCTGCTCAAATCCCAAAAGTCATGGGTGCGAGTGGCGTCATGGTTGCTCCAGTCGTTCTTGAAATCAGCTGGGACGGTGTCGTTTTGGAACATTTTAATCAAATTCATAGTCATGTGAACAGAGTAATACGATTCCTCGTTAATCCAACCCATCGTCTTGACCAGTTTAGGACCAAACATCACTCTGGGACGTTCTCTGTCTCCGGATTCGTTGAGGAACGTGTCGGTGTTGTCCAAAATCAAATCATTACCCTCCCATCTAAACACAGGGTAGTTTTTTTTCCCGTCCGGAGCTCGTAGACTTTCACCTGATCGATCCATATAATGATACAAGCGTTCGTGAAAACGATTGATGAGGTATTGCATGAGAGATCTGCCACTCGTCACTTTGTATCTGTCTTGGTTAAATTCCTTCCCGGTGACGTGAAATGGCACACGGTAACGCTCCGGAGCCCACGAACCATCGGATGTCCTTAGAAACGTTTCAATGGTCCACTCAAAATGACAAAACATATCGTCATCGTCAAAGTAATGCGATTGATGTGTGGGTACTTGATGAGCGGGTAAGGAAGACGATTCTTGAAACTGTTGGCCTTGTTGTCGGGAAACTCGTTCGTACTGGCATTGCTCATCAACTGCACGTAAAACTCTTTCATTTTCTGTCTTTTTTCACGAG